ATAATACTGTTTATTTGTATTTTAACTGTAATTTCCCAGCTTGTAATTAATAAAGCGTATCTATCTATTTTAGAACAAATATACCACTGCAGAATTAAGTATGACTATAAAGTATGTTAATGTTTTCATGCTGTAAATGTCTAGTTTATTGTGAATACACCTCCTCAGGTGATGTATCAGCCTTTTATCATTTACTAAATCACCATAATAAAATGAAAAACTTCATAATCACAGCCTCTGTAAAGTGTTGAACTACCGTAACTCAACATTTCTGAGCCTTTTTTTACACAAAGACAACGGTAAATTTCCACAAGCGACGAATAGTCAAACGCATATGAAAGGTTTCCAATAGGTGGCGCTTCGTCCTGAAAATGGTTTGACAGTAGAACAGTAGAAAGAGTTTCTACCAGTTTTATGACAATTGAAATGGACTTAAATGTTTAATTTATGAGCCTGTTTTATACAAACCAATTACGGTAAATTCCCACGGTTACAGAAAACAGTGAGACCTGGGACTTTCAGAAATAGGAGAACACATATTTAAAAACACTCGGTGATGTGATAGTTAAACCTGAATATAACAATTTAAAATGATTATAAAAAATGAAAATAAGATGTTAAATTAAAGGGTGCAGTTTCAGACTGGAGACTCATATTTGGAAAAAACAAACAAACAAAAAAACAAAACCAGATTTTATCTTCTTTGTTTTTCAGTGCAGTCATTTCCACACAGGTTTTTGTTGTTGTCAGAAATAAAAACTTCTTCACCTCTTTTCTTCCCTATGCCCTAGTTTCTGTTTCTTTCTCTCCGTTTCATCAATTTTCTCCATTTGTCCATCTTGGCCTCTTCTTCACTTCACTCCTCTCCCACTGTCCACTTCCATTAAGTAGCCCACTTAACCTCGCAGCACGTCTCTTCGCTCTGCCCTCCAACATGTGCCAACAGACTCTTCATCATGCTGATAGTGGCATCATATTTCCGTTACATGGCAGCTATAAAATCCAGACTCAAGGACAGACAAATTCACTTTACACAAATGTCTTTGGTCTCGGCCTTTAAAATGAAACGCAGCAGCGCTGGGAGGAAAGCAGCAGAAAGTCCACAAAGTGTTTGATTTAAAGTGTTTTGTCTGGAAGAGAGAAAACAACCGCTCAAGGTCTTTTTGGGAGTAAAACACTACATAATTTTTCACTGCAGTAATATCATGAATCGTGTTACTATCTGCTCATAAAAGTCACTCTAGATCACATTAATCACATTCTGCAGGAAGGATCTGTTTAACGCGGTTCCTTTACATAATCCTGTCAGGGTAATGGCTCAGATAACTCTGTTTTCACCCTCAGGGCCCATCTCCACCTGTAGAGAAAATAAAAAAAAAACACATATATGTTAATACCAACTTCTAATACAGTGGTTCTCAGACTTTTTCTACTCTGTACCACCATGATGACCAACATTAGAATACAGCAGCACAGGCCTTCACTGTAAGCTTCCACCACAGGAGAGATGTTTATGTTTGACTGTTGTATTAATTGTGTGTTGTATGTTTCAGATTTATTCAGTTGAAAATGTAAATGTGAAAATATGATTTTTTTTCCATTAGTTGAGTTCATTTTTGTGTCCTCAGGGGAGACACTGGGTTGAGGCTGTTACGTCTAGTAATGCAATAGAAGA